TCTCTCTTATACACATATATATGTGTATAAGAGAGAGTATATATATATATATATATATATATATATATATATATATATATATATATATATATATTAAAAGAAATATTGCAAAATGTACGCCAATGGTTAAATGTTTCAAAAACGTCCCCTTTTCCCATGCTATGAGTTTTGAAAAAGGTCATTTACTGTCATTATTATTCTTGAACCAACAATTTATTGTAAATAGTGATAAATGCTAAAAGTAACTAAATATTTCCTCCTCAAATGATTGTCTGTCAAACAGACTTTTTTCTTAACTTGATTTTTAAAAAAAAATAATTTAGGCAAATCTCTTGTTTTCTTTTTTTTTTAAATAAAAATCACAAATCGTTGCTGTAACCCGGTGATGACGGCTATTTGACTTGTTTTCCCGTAGGTAATCTGGTTAATATAATCAATTATATCCGTGTGAAACGAGGGGGAGGGGGGGGGCAGCATCCTCTAGAATTAATACTAACATGACATCATTTGTATATTTCCTCATAGAAGGTGTCCGACTTGAAGTGACATTTCGACCGTCTTCGAAGCACAAATATTCTTTGTGGGGGGGGGGGGTGGGGCAGAGGGTGTATAACTGTCAAAAGGTGGTTACAACCTGTCCATTCTTTATTTTATTGCCCACCTGTCTCGTTTTGAAAGTATTGTGTTCGTAACGATTTGGCTTTCCGTACGCCATTGAGTTCAAATTGAATATATTTGAATATTCCCACAAAATGAAATGTAAATATAAAAGTAATATGCATGTTGTTTCAAATTTACTTTATTTTTCAACTTCTTTCCATTTTAAATAAACGGACACATTCTGGTTTTTCCCCTTCATATTTCAGAGCTAACGATCAAGTTACTGATCATTTTGGCCCTTGGAGAACATCATAAAACAAAATGCATTGAAAAACTATGAATTCAGGGCAGCAGAAATTCAATTTGCCTTCTCTTAGATTGAACGCCCCACGACTAGCTATATCGATTGGGGCAGTTTAGACAGATGTGCCACCCAGCATCCTGCTTGATCATGTTTGTTATCGTATTTAGCTGAGCTGTTGATTCCGTCAAGCCACGGGTATGCGTGTTTAGGGTATATCTTGTGATCAGGCTCAAGTGGAAAACATTAGTTTTAAAAGGAAGAACAAGTAATACAAATAAATCTGAATAAGCGTATTATCTCCAAAATGTAAAAAAACCTTTCTATACTTTAAAAACAACGCTTAACAAAAAAAAGACATTTTAACTGCTGTATATTTTATTTTTAAATGCTAATTTTTGGACACACAAATTAATTGTTTGGTGTAAAACTGTTCGATAAAATAGATTTTTGACAATTTTATTTTGATGTACGAAATAATAAATCATTTCGAATAAAGAAATGAAAGCAGCTAATGTAGGTTGATTATGAAATTTATTTTTATATACGTCAGTACAATTTAAAACAAAAATACAGTAACACATTACGAAAGCAGAGTGAAGGAAAATTTTTACAAGATTACACATTCGAGACTAATGATCGGGCAATTCCGTTATAGTCATTTTTTAAGTAGAAGGCTAAAAAAAAAAAATGGTGATTTTAAAATTTGAAAGAAGATTATTAATAAAATTTCTAATTATAAAAAATGCACACAATATTTCTCGTTCAAATTCATTTATGTCTAAGAAAAAACTTCTGCCAGCTTAAATTCACCAATATAGTTTAGTATCAACTCTATGTCATCATTCTTCTAATTAAAATATACATTATGACAGATTGGATTGAAATTCATTAAAATCTGTTTCCACACTGCGTGTTACAAAATCATTTCAATTACATCCCCCTGAAGAAAGACTAAACATCACTTGATTGAATTATCTTTTAGCATTATAAAAGCATTATCATATTGATAGTGGGAAATATTTATATTTAAGCTTAAGAAATTTTACACACTATCAAAATTAATTTCCATTTGTTTTTATTTCTCTTTTAAAAACTTACAGAATTTTCTCCATGATCTTTCAAAACATTTAAACAAGCGATTTAAAAATGCTTTCCAAAAAAAAAATAATGAAAAAAGAGATGAATGAACAAGAAGTATCATGAATTATATGAATATTAAACCCGAAAAGTTAAAAAGATAAATTAGAGTGTACACGTTGAAATAAAAATAGCTTAGATAAACGAAATTTTTGTACATATAAAATACGCTATGAAAACGACTAATTGTCTTTAACCAAAAATGCTCTTAAATGGCCACTTGACGATTTTAACAAGAGAGCTAAAGATGCCCCCATCTTTACTCTCCTTAACTGTCTTAAATTGGCTATAAAGTGCGTCTATCTCTTTTTGTTGTCGCTTGCGTTCCTCTTCTAATTTGTCCTGAAATTCCTGCTTAAGATTCTCTCTCTTATGATCCATCTTTGCTCTCTCTTCGATAATTCGTTGTAAAATTTTAATTTCGTCTGCAATAGTGACTTGGATGGAGTTGGTTGTGTGCAGTATATCCTTGAGAGCCCCAGTTCCCTGGTCTTGTTCCAAAACGTTCTCATGCAATTCGGTAGCCCTGTCCTGAAGGTCAACTAGATGGGAACGCCTATCTTCTGGCTCCACATTGACCTGTGTCCATTGAAGTTTCTGTATTATTAAACTGATTTCAGTCATTGTTTCCTCACGCACCATCGGCTCCTTGGCTTCCACCATCAACTTCTCGCGTGCTTCCCTGGCTTTCTGGAAATTTTCATCTGTGTAACGAAGATCCCTCCATCGTAGGTTGTCCACCATTTCAATGAGATCTTTCAGTTGCTTATTCTTCTTGGCTTCATCTTTCGTCCTGTTGTCAAATAACATAACTCTATGGCAACATTCTTCAAGCAGTTCCTTAAACACTCCAGTTTGTTCATTGCACCACTCTTCAAATGTTAAGCCGTTTTCTTCACTGTCGAAACAGTCGCCACAAGTTAGAACTAAAATACAAAAATTTTTAACAAAATTTTCTCCGAAAATTCGCTTTAGGAATGTTATCGTGTCCTGGTCTTCTGCAGTAAACCTTCCACCGAATTTGGTCACCAGGAGGAAAGCATGATACCCTCGGGGATTGGCTGAAATGGCGAACTCCATGGCCCTCATCACAAGATTCACTGACTGCTCATTGTCAATGCGTGTGTCTCCTACACCTGGTCCGTCCACAACTTTGATGACGCGGTTGTCAAACTCACTGACTTCGTAGTCAACCTTTGTGGTGACGGAATTTTGAGAACTTTTGCTGACGAACGCCTTCCTATTTAAGATCGTGTTCCCAAGCGCACTTTTTCCATTTCCGGTCTTCCCGATCATCAGGAGATCTATGTCTCTCAACAAAGGCATTTTCCACCTGTGAAGAAAAAAAAAATCAATTATCACCCAAGATAATCTAGACAAAATATCCACAAAATAATTAAAGTCAGAGTACTCAATAATCAGCCTAATCGGCCCGCGGCCCGTGGGTCGTGCAGGCCTGTAATAAGGAATCATGTTCAATGTATTTATCATTCTTGCTCCTATGTATGTAGGACTACTCCAATGGTTTCTACAAGTATTTGATTCTCGACGCCTTCAAGGCTATATTTGTTTTCCCAAAGGAGAACTATATCAATTTCTCTCAATTACACTTCGGCATTGGTCATACATTTGGGTGATTAAGGGTAGCATAAAAAATAAATACAACACTTGTTTCGGCTACCAAACGCCATTTGCAAGCAGAAATTTCTCATGTAGTTACTGGTTAGCAGCAGACCACATCACATCTCGTGTCGTTTCACAAAGGTTTGAAGGTGAAAACGACTAAGAATTTCATTTTTACAATGTTAACTCACCTACTGCTAAGTAATAATTGTCTATGCATAAATTGAATTTCCTTGAATTGTATCTTTATTGCTTTTATAAATGTTATGCTTTGTGCTGAAGACTTATTGACATGTACGCTAATAAGCCGGCTTTAAAAAAATACGCGTGCAAAAAAGAGGATGGGGGGGGGTTTCTGCATACGCAATATTTGGATGACCCTTAAATAGTTTTTTTTTATTTTTATAGATATTTCTTGAATAGAATACCAACAACAGGACACAGACCCGATGAGTATAGTCGCAAACAAACCTAACCCTGTACCAGGACCACACAAAAAAAACAAAACAAATAACTTCACCCAGCTCAGGCCTATTACACAAATAAATATTTATGTCCCAATTTAAATTGGTAAGACATTCGATGTTATAATGATAAAGGGAAAACAAATTATTTAAGAAAATCAACTAATGCAATGTAATCATAATGAAAGGATTATTTATGGTATGTCTTGATTATAATGCAATATTTGTGTTTTAAAAAATATAATTTTTTAAATAGGACACTACACCAATGACAATTAATTACATGCTATATTTACAAAATTTAAAATGTAAACTAACATTAAAAAAAAAAAACTTACCTGTTTGTCCAAATGCTCTTTGTCTATGAAATACTGATACCAAATGTTGATCCCGAGTTTTACTATCTTGTGTAGTAATGAAGTAGTCATAGGTTGAGGGTTACCTCCTCTGTTGCTAACAACGGAGCGTTTTCCCCAGCAAAGCAACGTTTCTTAGAATCCACATTTCCTGGAAAACTCCAGCAAACGAAAAAAAAATGTTGTTGTTTTTTTTCCCCCATGACCTGCAACGAGTGGCCATCAAAGTGAAACCGCGCTGACAAACAACCGGCGTTACTAGTGAGAGTCGATTATGGTGGTGGTGTCAAATTTATTGGAGATGATTACAAAGGGATTAGTGAGTCATTCACTGGCGTTATTAAGATAGTCTTAACTCTGTATTAATAGAGTGCCTCATACCCAAGTCCATGAATTTAAAATTAATCAATGTGTTTAAAACGTTATATCTAATTAGTTTTTTTTTTTTTTAAACGGTTGGGGGTAAGCGGGATGTCAACCCTCGGAAAAAAATATATATTTATTTTTTTTTTTATATTCGCGTTTCTAATTATAGTTATTATTTTTTTCTTCTCTTAAACAGGTGTTCAAAACATATACGTAACCACGGCCGGGCAGGACGGTATTTTCTCTTTTACCAGGAAATTCTAGTTTTCCAGGAATTCGTCCTCTTGAGTAAAATAACATGACCTATATATCTAGGCACTCGAGGAGCACGCACTTATTTTCAGGGAATCAGCTGAATCCAGGCCAGTTTGGATCATTTTCCAATGTTTGTATTGAAAAGAAAGCAACTGTCCCATAGTGTGTGATTATAAACAAAATCATTTCAATCGATAGTACGAAGTTCAGATTTGTTTATTAGTTAATGAAATAAATGGGAAATGAATGGAAGAATACACGTTTAATTGGCATGCCGATGAAAAGCTCCCAAATTGTTCTCATTTTCCAAACAAACAAAAAATTTAAGAAAAATTATAACAGAACATTTTTAAAGAAATGTTTCTAAGGTCTAAAATCATAAAATTATAACAAAAGTTATAGATGAAAAGTGAGAAATGAAATGCGCAAAAAAAGCAAAAAAAAAAAAAAAAAAAAAAAAAAAAAAAAAAAAAAAAAAAAAAAAAAAAAAAAAAAAATAAAAAAGAAAAAAGGAAAAAAAAAAAAGAAAAAAAAAAAAAAAAAAAAAAAAAAAAAAAAAACACAAAACATGTAGCTTAAACTTCAAGTTTGGCAAAGAACCAACACACAGAGGATCAGTGGCGTAGCGAGGGTGTTTGGCGCCCGGGGACAAGATTCGCGCCCGGGACAAGATCCATTTTTAGCGCCCCTTTTTCTGTTGTTCAACTCTCAAACCCATAACACATGAAGGACCTGAGTCAACACATGAAGGATGACGTATTTTTTAACACACGATTGCGGCTCAGCATAATCATAATGCTGGGGAAACAAAAACAGTGAGTAGAATTTTTTTTAAAAAAATTAATTAAAAAGTACAAATAATTTCTATAAAATAACACAAGCTTTACAAACACTATTTATTTTCAACACATTAAACAAAAAAAAAAGTGTAAAATACATAAAAGCAGGCTCTATATTATTTTCACAAAGATTAGAGGCATGATATTTTAGAAATCAAAACGCATAACAATATTTGAAATCGCGTTAAATCTTCAGAAAAGCAGTTTTTTTTGCTTTCTGTTCTAAAAAAACCGGCATACTATCCTCTGGTCTTCTGACAACTCCTTTTTAAACAATGAAGACCAATTTATTATTTTTTCCAACATTAATTTCTTTTTTAAATTTCCTTTAACAAAAAAAATTGTGTCGGTTTTTATATCTGTAATGAAATTTGATGAATGTATTGAAATAATGTTGACCTTCTTTTAATGGATTCTAACGGTTTTGACAACATTCGGATATATCTTATAAGACAATTTGCTATTAAACTGCTCCTGGCACATAGGCTAACATCTTGATTACTACAAAAATAAAATAAGGAGTTCAAAACTCAACAAACTTACGTTTACGATGAAATAGTTTCGTGATGTAGATACAAAGGGGCAACAAAACCAGGCTAGAAATGTCGGAAATGTTTTTCAACTTCATTTTTAAAAAAAAAACAACAACCATGCAACTTTGTTTTAATTCTGTTTTTTAAGCACTGCTCGTGGTCACAATATTTAGAGCAATATTTCCTCAAAACGATATCGAGAGTATTAGAATGATTCAAGGCGTCATCTGCAATGACGTCATTCAAAAATTTAGAGTGTGCGTTATGACTTGTGCTCAGTTCACACGTTGAACTTTTCGTCAAAATTTTGGCCACATTTCTTTTTTTGGAACGCTCTATTTTGTGTTGCAACTCAGGGCGTTCAAAATGATATATACCGTTCCTCTAAATCACATGTGTTAAACTCTAGCCCCGCGGGCCACATCCCGCCCACCGTAAAATTATATCAAGCCCACGAGGTCTTGACCGGTGTACAATTATATCCATCAACGCTACGGTGTTTCCCTATGCAGAGGTTGCTTAAAACCTTAGATTATTTCGCGCCGAGTTCTCACGGCACTTTAGTGAATTTGAAGCACACAAAAGTAATTTCAAGCTGTTTCGTAACCCTTTTGTAATAGACGTGGCGAACTGCACCTGTCAATTTGAAGGTGGAGCTAACAGAGCTGCAGTGTAATGGGACACTAAAGGCAAAGTACGACACTGTTGGGCCTGCACAGCTCACACGTTTCATCCCAGCTTCGTCTACATGCGGCTCGAACCTTGAGCATTTTGGGTAGCACAAAAATGTGTGAGCAGCTGTATTCTGTGATGAAGATTAACAAAAGATCACACAGGAGTCGTCTCACTGATGAACACTTGCAGGCCATTATGAGAATCTCAATGACACATAACGTTACTCCCAACATAAACGAACTTACTTGTTTTTTTGTAGCCAAGAAAAGATGCCAAGCATGCAGCTCTAACTAGTTTGCACAATATCGACAATGAGTTTGCCAATGATTTTTAATTTTTAAAACTTTTTTCTGTTTTCATCTATATAAATTTTAAAAAAAAAGGATAATTGTCCGCTTAATGAATGTTTTTCCTGGTCGGCCCGCAACCTTGCATGTGATTTGAGTCTTGGTCCGCCGAGCGATTGAGTTTGACACGACTGTTCTAAATGATTCAAATCTGTCGTACAGGCCTGAACGTCCCACCAAACCCCACTTCCTGCACCACCTTCAATTTATAATTCCTTTTTTTTGGGGGTCAATCTTAAAATATCTTGCTACACTATTTATTTACTTGATACAGCCTGGCCAAAGTCCTTAAATATATATATGTATTTAATTTATCGAATGGCGAAACTTGAAAACGTTCAGTACTTCTGCTCATAAAACTGGTTTCCTCTTTTTTTTTTAATCCCATTGTTATTACCGGGATATAGTTTTTTCTGAGGAAATGATGGGCAATCTGACTTAAGCACTTATGCTATCGTCTTTATTAAATCTGGAGTGCACAGTTATGCAGCTGTATCTGCAGATAAAAAGCCAGTCTATCAAGTACAAGCAAGTAAACTTATTTTCGAGGGAAACTGTTAGAGATAAATGCCAGGTTAAAGGTCAGAGGGTTTCAATTTTAGTTTTTGTTAAAAACAGAAGTTTAAATTTAACTATAATTTTTTGAAGAAAAAAAAGGTCTTTGAAAGTTGCGTAGTAAAAATGATTAAAGTCAGAATTATTAAAAAAAAAATACCCAATAGATTTTGAAAAAAAAACGTGTGCAATAGATTATATAGAATTTTAAAACAAATGGCCCAATAAAAGGCGTCCCCTAAATAGCGGCGTCATTTCAGGTTTTTTCAAGGGAGGGGCAGGGCAAAACAAAACCTTATTTGACTTGTTAAGTTGGTCATTACTCAAGGAGCAACAGTACATAGCAATTTAAATAAGACCTGCAAATTGAGAGGGGGAAGGGGGTGGGGGGCAAACACCCCACCCTTCCCTAATAAGATGACGTCCCTGCCTTAAAGCTTAGTACAAAATGGCCACATTTTAAGCACTATTGTATCTAAGGTTCAAGGATGGTAGATTCATTTTCTAGAGCCAGCGGAATTAAACTTTGTTATGTCTTACATTAATAGTAATAGTTATTCTAACATTAAAAAATTAAACAAAACAACAAAAAAAGAACATCCGAGCATTTATTCTTCACGGGCCTTTTAACGCGAAGATTAAGTGTAGCATTGATTAAAAGTTCCTGACATATTTCTTAAATATCATTTCCAAGGTCAGTCATTATATAGAGCAAGGTTATATATTCCTTGCCAGCGGTCAAACTATATTGTCACGCCAAATGCTTACTGCTTTTTAAAAATATTTCTTTTAAAATATTTTTTTTTTCAGACATGATTACTAGATAACTATTCATTTGTCCTTATAAGAAGCTTCATAAATGCTTGGACGCTTAGACAATAGTATTAGGATCTTCGTGAATCTAGAATAAGCTTGGTAACTATAACCTTCATAGTACATTTGAAATATCGGTGGATTTAAATGCAATAATATCCACTTCATGTAGGGGGAGATCTAAAATTTTCCAGTCTAGATCTCCGATCTTCTTATGCGAATAATTTCAAGTTTTACTCTATTATGAATCGATTTTTTTGGGGGGAACCCCTTGTCTTAGGCATAACTAAAACTTCATGCTATGGAATGGGCCTTCTTAGGGCCCCTCGTTTGACTTAAATGAGAATAATTATAGTTAAACATTTTGTTATCTCAATATTCTAAAAAGTAGTATATAGGAGAGTCGTTTTAAAATTTCACTTAAGTTCTATTGATTTCTATACATTGCTGGCGATTTTTGTCGCTGAATTTATTATCAAATTACGTTTCATTAAATTTCTAGATCGTGATTCTAGAATTTTCAATTATTTTCTACAATCATTTTAAGATTATTTATATATATATACAGAGAGAGAGAGAGAGAGAGAGAGAGAGAAAGAGAATCAGAGAGAGGGAGAGTTGGGTGGTATTGACATAATAATTAGGTAATATTTGCAATTTGCACAAATTTACAATATTTTGTCTGAAATTCCGACAGTCTAAATATATGGAAAACAGTGAAAGTCCCTT